CCTTAAACTCAAGCATGTTAACCATTAGATTTTGAACTTGCATTAGGATGCTCGCACCGAGTTAACAAATAACTAACCGAGTCAACTTTTGACTCGGCGAGTTAGATGTAACTAACTCCAAAGCAAACCCTAAACCAAGTTCCAAACCTAACCCACTCCAAACCTAACTTCTATTTAAGCAAACCTTCACATTTTCACTTGGACCCTTAATCATTCTCTCAAAATTTTCACTCTTCACTCTCTTTGAAATTTCTACAACTTTTTCTCACATTCATCTTCACCTTTTTCTCCAAACCACACCAAAGCTCCTTTTCCACCATTAAAGTGTAACAAGTTTCACATTGAACTTGTTGTGCTTGGAGCTAGACCTTCATTTCACTACATTTCTACTTGGATTTTTGGAATTACAACAACTTCTACTTCAATTCAAGTAATCATCTCAAGAGTTTTGGTGCAAATTCATATTTGAAGCATTTATCGCGTTTTCGTCGGCTTCGATACGAATTACTCTCGAGCTTGGAATTCTCTGGTTTTCTTTGCTTCTTCACATCATATTTTCTTGCAACAATTCCCAAGGCAAACCTCTGCCTTGTATGTTGGTTATTTTTGCTCGATTTACTATTTTTGATCGTTTTTGCATTTTTCACAATGTAGCTTAATTGATGTTTTTTTTGCTTGAATCCTTGATTTGCATGATCAATTCTTGTAGCTTTCATTTTCTATGAGTTAATGTGAATTATGAATTTGCTTCTATGCTTTGATCCATTGCAATTGCTTGAAAAAAGTCATTCTCAAAAGTGCTTTTGAAAATTCTGTTTTGCTGTTTTTTTGCTGAGGTAACGAGTTACCTCACCCCTGCCGCGCCCCTGGAACTGTTGTGTTGCCTAAGGTAACTGGTTATCTCACCATGTAACGGGTTACATCACTGTTTCTTAGCCAAAATCTTGATTTTAGGGGCTATTTTGCATATTATTCTTGTGCTATTTCCCATGACCACGTGGATACATGTTAATGCTATTATTTTAGGGAAGAATCTACATGACACAATCTTTGCTCGATTAATTGCTTAAATTTCTTTGATTATTTTGCAATTTAATCATGTATTCAAAGTACTTTTGTTCACTTTTCTTGGTTGTATGTTAACTTAATTTTAATTAGTGATGCATGCTAATTTTGTCTTTGTTAATGCTTGGCAGTGTCATCTTGTTGCACTAAGTTTGTTCTTTATTAAACAAATTTAATCTTGTACAATCGTTACTTCACACTTTTGCTTTGACGATTTTTCGACTCGTTTGAAAAATTGTTGGCATATCATTTCCCTTTGATCGATAAATCGAACCTTATTTCGATTGGTTAATCTTCCTCTTGCTCTTCTCTTTAGGATTTCTTTAGAGCTTATCTTTCTTGTCCCCTGCGGAGTCGAAGGTCTGCATAACGCATCTGAGCACTGTACAAATTGTGTCGTTACTCTGTCGGTTTTAGCTTATGCACTATAATTTGAGTGCTAGAGAAGGGATGAGAGTGGAAAATTCCTACACTCATTCTGATTATTTTGGGTAGGGGAGGAATGACCCTGTTCCTGGAATAATTGTCTCTATCTCCAAATTATAGTGTTTCCCGATCCCCTGCGAGTTGATCCTTGATCCCTCACTCCTCTTTCAATTTCTCCTTTGATCAATCACTATTTTCCTTGGTTCAATATCAATGTCTTCCTTCCCTCAGATAATCACAGTCTTTTTGTTAACAGACTAAGTTGCTCTTGGTTCAATGTCCATTATTTCACAATGGTTGTTTGAATAAATCGTTGTTATAAGTAGCGTGCTACCTAACTTATAATCACGGTCTATCGCCAGTTGTGGAAACCATCATATATACAACCACACGCTACCTAACAATGGACGTACAACCGTCATCATACGTATTTCACAACTGTTATTATATGTGTTTTCCGTAGTGTGGTTCATGTTCGGTGGTGCATCAGTCGCATGGAGTTTGATAAAGGAACCCGTGGTAGCTTTATCATCAAATGAGGATGATTACATAACAACTATTCTATGTAAATTCCATACAACATGGATGACGAATATAGTCGGAGAAATTACAGAGAAGAGTTATGGAGCAAAGACCATGAAGATCGACAACATGTCGGATATCAACCTGGCAAAGAATGTAATAACAAACGGAAGAAGCAAACGCATCGAAATGAGGTTCCATTACTTAAGAGAGCAGGTAGCAAATGGAAAGCTAAGCATGAAGAATTGCATATCAGAGAATCAGATTGCATATACAAAGATGAAGGATGTGCAGATCAAATTGTTCAAGAGATTAAGAACATTGAAGAATATAGAAAGCTTAGACACAATGAATTATGGGGTATGTTAAAATTTTAATTCTTTGCATCGAAGTCGAAATAATGTGTTTATATTCGACGAGTGTCGAAAGGTGTTTTAGTGTGTATCGAAATAGCCTGCATCGAACAAAGTATGTATTTGTTGTATTTGACAAAAAGTCAAATATAGTCTGTCGAAGCATGTAGCTGTCGAAGGAGTCAACAAAGTAATTTTATCTATTAATAGAAATTTTATCTATTAATAGAGATGAGCTCTATTTCATTTGTAACAGAATAACAAGATTTGTAATAACTTTGTGTAGTTTCAATAATCACTGTTGTGATTACCGCATATTATAGCAAACACTGAAAGTGCACTTTGCACAACAATACATTCTTCTTCCTCCAGAATCTCTTTTCTCTCATTTTCAATTGTATTGTTTTCTTCTTTCAATTCTCTATGTAGTGTAAAATCATCTTGTAACCAAAGAATGATTCTTTTACCTGAATAAATGGTGAAGAACAAGAGGCGTGATCAATCAGAAAGATTAATTCTTGTTCATCAAGATTGATTCAGTTAAATTCAAGATTGGAGTTTTACCAACATCTAGTATCCAGAGCACTAACTTTGTGACCTTTGAGACGTATTGGGTCATGATGAATCATCTGAATGAGTATTTTCCAACAAATCCTCCAATCTTGAACGGTAAGAATTATGAAAATTGGTGTAAGCAGATGAATGTTGTTTTATATTATCAAGATCTCTGAGAACTTGTGAAGAATGGAGTAACATCAATTGGCGAGAATGCTACAAATGAAGAAAAGGTTGTACACAAAGATTTAAAGAAGAAAGATTATAAGCTCTCTTTTTAATCCGTAAATGTGTTGATCCGAACAACTTTGAGAAAGTTAGTGATGTAGATTCACCGAAGGAAGCATGAGACATCCTGAAAAATTCATTTGGAGGCGCTGAGAAAGTGAAGGAGGTGGGATTATCAACTCACAAAAGAATGTGTGAATTGCTTCAGATAGAAGACAATGAAAGTGTGACCGGTTTCTTCACCAAAATAGCGAAACTGATGAATCAAATCAAAACAGGTGGAAAAGTGTTGACATTAAAATATTTAGTGTCAAAGATTTTGAGGTCATTACATCCAAAATTCAATCATGTAGTAGTAGTCATAAAAATGATAATTGACAATTGACCATTAATTTTAATTTTTTATAATAATAAAGTTTAATAAAATGCTGTAATTTACTTACTTGTATTATTGAAGAACGTGTAAAATCTAATTTTATTATGTGATCATCTAAACTATAAATGCATCTTACAACATGTCAATTCAACTCATTGGTCATCAAATAACAATGAAAACATTTAAAAACACAATTTATTGTTAGATGATCGCATAACACAATTAAATTTTACATGTTCTTTTATAATACAAGTAATTAAGAACATTTTCAATAGTTTTTAACACAAAGAAATATTAGAAAATAAAACTATTTTCTTAAATTTTGTTATCATCAAAAATTAAAATTGATGGTCAATAGTCAAAATGTTAATTATATGTCTATTTTAGAACTTTACTAAGGTGATAGTTAATATGTGTCTATTTTAGAGCTTTATTTTTGAAATAATAATTTCAGAATAACTCGCAAATTACTAACATGTAACAAATGATTACTCTGAAAATAATATTATAGCTTGATTGTGTGTTACTGAAGATGAAAGTTTCATAATAACTAATAATATAACTCATGCTCAAACACTTTCTCTCTCACTTTCTTTTTCTCTCTCACTTTCTAAATAAATAAATCATACATAAAAAAATGGAAGTGTGAGAATTTTTGTGTGTATATGGAGATAGCAATAGCCCAAAATTTATTTTACATTAGAACTTAGCATAAACATATTACTACCTCAAACCGTGTGTAGGACAAAATCCAATTTCCTTTCCTTATATCTTAATTCCTTAGCCAAGAAGTGTTCCATAGATTTTCTTACCTCATGTTCTCACCTAGACAAGTCACATCTAAAATAATTCTAACTACTCATCATCATGCCATCCCTTCCTTGCACCTTCATATCCTAAAATTGATGTCTTTCTTGAAATGGTCATATTCACATACCTTGTTGGCTTAAGATACCTTTTTTCTTCAACTTAAACTAAACCATTCAATTCAATCTTCTTTACTCCTACACAATAACCCCACCTTCCTAATCCCATTTCAAATTCAAGTCCCCACCTCAACCCTAAAAAGAAAATAGTCCCCCTCATCATTTTCTCTCAAACCCTATCAACTATTCTTAAACCTTCCATTCAAACATAAACAACAAATCTCAATAAAACAGTTTGATCAGTAATTTAAAAAATATCAAATTTCACTATCGTCATACCACTTTAGAGATAGAAATTGATTTCACGAAGAAATTTCTTCCGAACTGATCAACTTTTATTTCTTTAAACCCCACAACTTCATTCTATTATTTAACCATAATCAAATTACTAAATTTGATAAGGTAACCATCTTTTCATTAACATTAACATAAGATTGAAATATTTTCTATGATTTACTAACATTTTTGTCTCCTAGTATAACACCAAGCAACAACAAACAATTTCGTGTCACCAAACCCAACAGTATAGTCAACAAACTCATAAACAAAATGATGAAAAAACTAAAACACAAATTAAACACAACCCTTAGCATAAGAGGATTGAAAAAACCAAAACCCTCCAAATCCAAACCCTATAAAACCTATGAAACCGAAACCTCATCAACACAACAACCGCCACAATTAACACTACCACCATCACCATCTCCATCTCCAACAATGCATCATCCAATCATAAAAAACAAACCTTTTCAATTCCCACAGACTCATTCATCTGTTCTCCCTGACCCCTCCAACTTCTTCTCTCCAAATCTGCTATCCACACCCCTCCCCACTAACTCTTTCTTCCAAAACTTTGTTCTCAAAAATGGCGACCAACCTGAATACATTCATCCATATCTCATCAAATCATCAAACTCATCACTTTCTGTTTCATACCCATCTCGATTCTTCAACTCTTCTTTCATATACCAGGTTTTCAACCCTGATCTAACTATCTCCTCTGATCTTTATTCAAATACCAATCATAGAATCTCTTCTTACAATGATCTCAGTGTTACTTTGGATATCCCTTCTTCAAATCTGCGTTTTTTTCTTGTCAGGGGAAGTCCCTTTTTGACTTTCTCTGTAACACAACCAACCCCTCTTTCAATCACTACAATCCATGCTATTCTCTCTTTTTCTTCCAATGATTCTCTTACAAAGCATATTTTCAGCTTTAACAATGGTCAAACATGGATTCTGTATGCTTCTTCACCTATCAGGTTGAGTCATGGTGTTTCTGATATCACTTCTGAAGCATTTTCTGGTATAATTCGGATTGCTTTATTGCCTGATTCTGATTCGAGGCTCGAGGATGTTCTTGACAGGTTTAGCTTTTGTTACCCTTTGTGCGGTGATGCTGTTTTTGCAAAACCATTTTGTGTTGAGTATAAATGGGAGAAGAGAGGTTGGGGTGATTTGTTATTGTTAGCACACCCTCTTCATCTTCAGCTTTTATCTGAGAATGATTATAATAATGTTACTGTTTTGAATGATTTTAAGTATAAAAGCATTGATGGTGATCTTGTCGGTGTTGTTGGTGATTCATGGATTTTGAAAACCGATCCTGTTTCTGTAACTTGGCATTCTACCAAGGGTGTTAAAGAAGAATCTCATGATGAAATTGTTTCGGTTCTTGTGAGAGATGTTGAAGATTTGAATGCATCTGCAATAGCGACGAACTCGTCTTACTTTTATGGTAAGTTGATAGCAAGGGCTGCTAGGTTAGCATTGATAGCTGAAGAGGTTTGTTTCCTTGATGTGATTCCAAAAATAAGAAAGTTTTTGAAGGAAACCATTGAGCCTTGGCTTAATGGAACTTTTAAAGGAAATGGTTTTCTTTATGATAAAAAATGGGGAGGTATTGTAACCAAACAAGGATCTACTGATACCGGTGCTGATTTTGGATTTGGAATTTATAACGATCATCATTATCATTTAGGATACTTTCTCTATGGAATTGCGGTGCTTGTTAAGATTGATCCAATTTGGGGTAGAAAGTATAAGCCTCAAGCTTATTCACTCATGGCAGATTTTATGAACTTGAGTCGAAATCCAAACTCGAATTACACGCGTTTAAGGTGTTTTGATCTTTTTAAATTGCATTCGTGGGCTGGAGGGTTAACCGAGTTTGGAGATGGAAGAAACCAGGAGAGTACTAGTGAAGCTGTGAATGCATATTATTCGGCAGCTTTGATGGGTTTGGCCTACGGTGACACTCATCTCGTTGCAATCGGATCAACGCTTACATCATTGGAAATTCACGCAGCTCAAACGTGGTGGCATGTAAAAGGCGGAGATAATATTTACGACGAAGATTTTGAAAAAGAGAATAAGGTAGTTGGTGTTCTTTGGGCTAACAAGAGAGACAGTGGATTATGGTTTGCTCCTGCTGCGTGGAAAGAATGTAGACTCGGGATTCAACTCTTACCGTTGCTTCCTATTTCCGAAATTCTGTTTTCAAATGTCGATTTTGTAAGGGAGCTTGTGGAGTGGACGTTGCCGGCTTTGAATAGGGAAGGTGTTGGAGAAGGATGGAAAGGGTTTGTGTATGCATTGCAAGGAATTTATGATAATGAAAGTGGATTGCAGAAGATAAGAAGTTTGAATGGATTTGACGATGGAAACTCGTTGACGAATCTCTTATGGTGGATTCATAGTAGAGGTAATGAAGATGAGGAGTTTGGTCATCATGGAAAACAATGCTGGTTTGGTCATTACTGTCATTAGGATTTATGTATTGTTTAATGATTTCAAATATTTTAGTTGAAATAAGGTATAATGAAATTAATGCATTGTTCTTATTTATATAGTTAACAAATGTTGGTCTCTTATTATTTCATTGTGAATAAAGTGTGTTGTGTTTGCTTTTAAATTCAATCTGAGTTTGCTTTATATGTAGTTAACAAATGTTGGTCTCTTATTATTAGTTGATGAATACTCCAAAGTCATTGAAAAAATGAATAAATTAAACGTAATCACGAGTGTTTGTGTCGATTTCAGATACGACCACTGACACCGACACACATTTTTTCAGAGATTGTCCGTGCTACATTACTACACTAAAACGAAAATAATATATTCTTGTTATGTAATACCTATAATTACATAAACATAGAGATTTTTTACTATGGAATTCATGTATTAGTCATCTGGGAAATTGGTAATACATTGCGCATCGATGATATTTTAACAAGAAAAAATTATACTTCATGATCCAAAATCCTAAAGTAAAATTTCCAAAAACCTATGTAGCACTGCTACAGACCCTTCAAGTTGATGTGAGTGATAACGTATATCAGTGTTGTGTCTGGTATCAATGTCTGTATTCGTGTATCCGTGCTTTATAGAGCAGAGATGTGTTGTGCACAAAAACAGGAAGTATTTTTCAGTGAACTAGATGTTGGCTTCAATCCAGTACTGCTTATTATATATTGTGCTACAAGCCACTCATTAAAAGTTTGAAATTTTCAAATAATAACTTTTGTCTTAAATCTATTTTCTTACAAAAGAAGATTTGATGTTGAGATTTTTGGCAGAAGCACACAAGGAATAAAAGATGAGGATGTTTATAAAATATTTGAAAGTTAACTTTTCCATAAAAATGGAAGAATAATAAAACAACATTCTTAAAACTACAAAAAAGGATCTTTTTTCAAACAAGTTACCTCATTATATGCTAAACAGTTTCTTCATGCCATCTCTTCCTTCAACATTCAAGTACAGAAACAGATTTTCTTTCTTAGATTCTTTTTCTTAGGATAATTTTTTCATTGTTTTGTTGTGAAATGCATAATTCATAAAGATCCTTTCATTTTGTTCAATCAATTCCTTTCTTCATACAATTCCAAATTCTTTTCTTTTATGCTTAACTTTTATTTCAATATAAAACACATCATCCAACCTTTCTATTTCTCTCCAACTAACTTTAACTGTCACATCCAAATCCAAACTACTTTGCCATATTCAAACTCACCATGCTGAAAAAACTCGGTCGAACTCTCAAAGGTAAAAAGCCAAGACCAAGACCAACCCTTCTACCACCCCCTCCTCCTCCTCCACCTCCTCCTCCTCCACCACCACCACCTCCACCTCCACTGCCTCCTCCTCCACCACAACAACCACCTCCTCCTCCTCCACCACCTCCACCACCTCCACCTCCACCTCCACCGCCTCCTCCTCCAAAGCAACCAACAAATACTCCTTTTCTCTTCCCACAAGTCCACTCCACAGTTCTTCCTGACCCTTCGAACTTCTTCTCTCCAAATCTTCTCTCATCACCACTCCCTACAAATGCTTTCTTCCAAAACTTTGTTCTGAAAAACGGAGACACGCCTGAGTATATTCACCCTTACCTCATCAAATCCTCGAACTCCTCCCTCTCCCTCTCCTACCCTTCTTGCACCTCCAACTCTTCTTTCATAACCCAAATCTTCAGCCCTGATATCACCATTTCCGCCTCCACGAAAACCAACCAAGATTCACATCAAAACCATGTGATTTCTTCCTTTAGCGATCTCAGTGTCACTTTGGACATTCCCTCGTCTAATCTACGATTCTTCCTTGTAAGAGGAAGCCCTTTCGTGACAGCATCAGTGACCGGCCATACACCACTTTCCATCACCACCATTCATTCCATCCTTTCATTCTCATCCAATAATTCCCTAACCAAGCACACCTTGAAGCTCAACAATGGCCAAACATGGCTCATATACACATCCTCCCCAAGCACACTCAATCATAGTCTTTCTGAGATTACCTCCGAAAGCTATTCCGGTATAATAAGAATGGCAGTATTGCCTGAGTCTGATCCTAAGTACGAGATAATCCTCAACCGTTTCAGTTCTTGTTACCCTACTTCTGGTAATGCAACATTCACGAAACCATTCTGCGTCGAATATAAATGGGAGACGAAAGGTTGGGGAGAGTTGTTAATCCTTGCTCATCCAGTTCATCTTCAACTTTTAGCTACAAGTGGTGATTGCGATGTAACAGTGCTTCATGATTTGAAGTATAGAAGCATCGACGGCAATCTAGTTGGTGTTGTCGGAGACTCATGGCAATTGAAAACTCATCCTGTTTCTGTTACATGGCATTCAACCAAAGGTATCAATGAAGAATTCCATGAGGAAATTTGCTCGGCACTTTCTGACGACGTGGATGCTTTAAGTCCCTTAGGAATAGCCACACCAACATCATGCTATTTTTATGGAAAATTGATAGCAAGAGCAGCAAGGTTGGCATTGATAGCTGAAGAAGTCAATGACCTTGGTTCCATACCGGCTATCAATAAGTTCTTGAAAATGATGATCGAGCCATGGTTGAACGGAACTTTTAATGGAAATGGTTTTCTCTATGATGATAAATGGGGAGGAATTGTTACCAAACAAGGTTCTACTGATTCCAGTGCAGATTTTGGATTCGGTGTTTATAACGATCATCATTATCATTTAGGATACTTTCTCTACGGAATCGCAGTGCTTGCTAAGATTGATCCATCTTGGGGAAGAAAATATAAACCTCAAGCCTATTCACTTATGGCAGATTTCATGAACTTAGGAAGAAAATCATCATCAAACTCAAACTATACGCGTTTAAGATGTTTCGATCTCTACAAGTTTCATTCATGGGCTGGAGGGCTAATCGAATTCGCAGACGGAAGAAATCAAGAGAGTACTAGTGAAGCTGTGAATGCATACTATGCTGCAGCGTTGATGGGAATGGCGTACGGTGACACACAACTCATCGCAACCGGATCAACGCTTGCAGCGCTTGAAATCCATGCAGCACAAATGTGGTGGCATGTGAAAGGAGGAGACAAACTCTATGTTGAAGAATTTTCCAAAGAGAACAAAGTGGTGAGTGTTGTTTGGTCTAATAAGAGAGATAGTGGACTATGGTTTGCACCTTCTCAATGGAGAGAATGTAGGCTCGGCATTCAGGTTTTACCGCTGTTGCCGATTACGGAGGCATTGTTCTCTGATGTTGGTTATGTGAAGGAGCTTGTGGAGTGGACATTGCCTAATTTGAATAGGAAAGGTGTTAGTGAAGGGTGGAAAGGTTTTATATATGCTATGGAAGGGACTTATGATAAAGAAAGTGCATTGGTAAAGGTTAGAGGATTGAAAGGTTTTGATGATGGGAACTCAATGAGTAATTTGTTATGGTGGATTCACAGTAGAGGTTATGATGAAGAGGAGGAGTTTGATCATGGAAAACATTGTTGGTTTGACCATTATTGCCATTAATATGGAAATGTTTCACCGTTAAAATAACGGTTAAACTAAAATTCGAAGGTTTCTTCGGTTTGATATCTGATGTGATTTTTAAAATATTGATTAAGTGTGTAAAATATATACAGCTTTGTGTGTTTAATGTTTGGTTTAGTTATTTGATATTAGTCGAAAAGTGAAGTTTGTTATTTTTTGGGTGGAAAGTAATTTATTTGAGACATTTAAGAGCCAACTTCAATTATTTTTAAATAGATTTCTTACACTTCACTCTTCTATTTAAATATTCAAATGGTGATTTTTCTTTGCATGGCTTTCTCTCAACATTTACCATCAAGTTGCTTTTGACGACTCAATATTTTATTGGTACCACCATATGTAATGGTTGCATTTTTTTAATATAATTATTGTTATGATATACAAATTGAATTTACTTATGACTCATTGCCAAAACCTTAAGCTCAACATATGAAAGTTTAGTATCAATGGAAAAATAAACCAAATAAAAATAATTATTATGTTAGAAAATTTAATATTAGTAATTATTAATTTATAAATATACTATATTAATATAAGTAATTTATTTAGGAAAATAAAAAGCTAACTTAAATATGTCTATTCACTAAATTTTAATAATATTTTTAATTGACTTTGTTTGTGTAGAATTTTTTTAACCCGAATTTCTTTAAAGTGTGTTTGGATGAGATAATTGAGTATTTTTAAGAAATTAAAAAATCTAAGTAATTTAAATGATTCAATTGAAATCCATTTATTTTTAAAATTTATTGTTTGGATGGAGTATTAAAATGATTCGTTGTTAAATTTTTAGGGTCATTTTCATAAATTTTATAACTTTTGAGCCAAATTTAAGATATGAAAAATAGGGACCAAATTATAATTTTTAAAAATTTAAAGAGACTAATTTATAATTTTTGAAAAAATTTAAGGACTTATTTGCAATTTTTAGAAAATTTTAGGAGTGAATTTGAATTTTTTATAGGATATGGAGACTATCTTGCAAAATTTTAAAAATTTATAATAAACAATTTAACAGTGGCATGATATAGAGTGAAGGAGTAATTTCAAATTCCTTACTTTTTAGTGTCATTTGAAATTCCTTAAATTTAACTTGAATAAAATGTTTCATAAATTTATATCATTTTAACAATTCTCTATGTTTTTTTTATCCAAACAATGAATTTTGGTCAAATCATTTTAAATTCCCTCAAAAAGTTACTCTCTCTCATTAAAATGTTTCACCCAAACACACTATTATAATCTCTAGACGGGATTACTTTTGCTTTGCTTCCTTAGGATATCATTCTTTTACCCTGGACCAATTATTTGAACTCGAGTACAAAAAAAAAGCCTATTGAAATTTATCATTTTGTTCCAGAATCCGCAGCGGTTGTTGCTTGCTTCTTGAGCCTATACCCGGTGAGCTCTCTCGGACTGAGAAGAAAGCTTAAAATTCGATAAAAACATGTCCTTCGAGGGCACAAATAACTAAAGTACTGGCTCACAAAATGTCAGAATTCGGTTTCCCTAGTGGATTCACCGGTCTTGCGGACTCCCTTCAACTTACTTGCGATCAAAATCACTATTTTGCTTTTTGAGCTATACGAAAGAACTAGATCACGATCTCGCGAGACTAATCTCTTGAAAACTGAAAGAAAGGGAAGTTCCATGCGGGGAGATGAGTCAAAGCTTTCTCTTATATACGATACCTACCAAAGAGAAGAGATCACATTCTGACAGGGAGCACACGAAGCAAAGGAAAGACTGACGTGCATAATATTAGATAGATGTATTATCAGACACACCTCTCCTAGTGTTCTTGTTGCCTTCAACCCTGAAGGGAATGAACAACTAGCTAACTCGAACTAACCATCATTTGGATCCTTAAAAGTATGGCTTGCTTTAATTCTCTGCAGATAAAGAAAGAGATCAAAAGTATTGAAACCTACGATGTATCCTCAATCTTCCTTGGCAACTGATTAAAATTTACATCGGGTTCTCCCATCAACTTTGCGAAGTCAAGCTCGTAGACTTTCCTTTAGCCTATAGGCTGATCTGCATATGGATTTGCGGTGAAGGAATGACGAGACTTCTCCTCTTTTCTAGAGACTTTCTTCCTTTATCAAAATTAGGGGGATAAAGAAGACATGAGCTACCGCTAAACCTTTCCTCAATTTCAACTGTTTGGGACGCTCCGACACCTCTAATGCGAGAAGTGCGATATTTCCCCAATCCAAATTGTCAAAACTCACGTCATAGTAATAAGAAGAATTGTTTGGTACCTTTTTTTCTTCAATCAAATTCATTCAAATCCGAAGCTGCTACTAAAAGAAGAAATTTGTCCTCATCCTTTAACTCAAACTTCTTTCTTCCCCTAGAAGTACCATGAGATCCAGATTAAGAGTTGTTTTATTGAGTAAGGAATACAAAATTATAAATAAAAAGTAAAATTAAAAAAAAAACCATGATACCTCATTATATACTTTTTTATGTATTATAAAAGATATAAATATACATGTAAAGCTTTAAATATATAGAAGATATATAAAAATATGGGTTAAATATGATTTTCGTCCCTATAAATATCCCACATTTTATTTTTAATCCCTATAAAAAAAAACCTATTTTGGTTCCTACAAAAATTTTATGCATGCAATTTTAGTCCTTGCTATTTTTAAAATTTTTGAAAACTATTCAATTACCCATAAACTTTTAAATTTTTGAATAACTTTTTTATATGTGTTCTCGTTACTATAAAATGTTTCTTTATCAAATTATATAATTTTTTAAAATGAGAAGAACTAAATATAAATTTTTTAAATTTCAAAAAATAATGATGAAAGTAATAAAAATTTCGACTTATAAATTAAATTTTGAGTTTTTTTTTTCTCGAAGAATTGTTTATAACATTTTAAACATATCTATAAAGTAATCATTGAAAAATATACATTGGTTTAACGATAAAAACTAAAACTACATACATAATTATTTTATAAAAACAAAAACACGCTATTTTTTTTATAAAGACATAAAATTATATTTTGATAACTTTACAGGGATAAAAAAAACATATTTAACCCTAAAAATAACATATTATACTGTTAGTTGTGACTCATTAGATTAATTACAAACGACACATGATTCTGCGTTTAATAAGAACAGAAAAATATTCCCTACTTGTGTAGAAAAATCACAGTGATCGAAGAACTGAACAGTGTGTTGAGAAGTTAGGTAGCAGAAACAAAAATGGGGGAAGAGAAAGAAGATCCACAGAAACTGAAGCGATTAGCGGCGGATTCATACGATTACGATAACGACTCACGATGGCCCGATTATTGGGCCAACGTTCTTATCCCTCCGCATATGTCTTCTCGCTCCGACGTCGTTTCGCACTTCAAACGCAAATTCTATCAACGCTATGTTGTAAGCCTTGTCTTTTCCCCCTAATTAGGTCACCGTAGCATAGCACTAATTGGTATTACATTTATCTTCAATAGTAATAAATGTTTCTTGTGGTTTTTTTGAGGGTTTTGTTATTTTTATTCAATTATTTATGGTTTATGTTTGATGTGAATGTGTTTTATTTTCACTAATTAGTAATTAGATTGTAATTTTAATATAATTGAACTAATTGCTATTGTTATGATATATGCTATTAACAAAGTGTTATCATGTAGCTGCTATATCGGTGTTATAGTATCGCAGATTCGCAGCGAAGCAAGATTTAAACAAATCTATATTTTAGATGATATGTGGTTGGCAACCCTGATTATTGATTATTTGTGAAATTTTGTTTTTGATGAGGTTGTTCGTGATTTTTTTAGTAAATTAGAGGATGTTTATGAGAATAGCAATGCTGTTTAGTATAAAAATTTGATGAAGTTGATTGTTTGACAACCCTGATTATTGGATTATTTGTGAAATTTTGTTTTTGATGAGCTCGTTGGTGATTTTTTTAGTAAAAGTGGATTGTGGAAAGAGTGAGGTTTTGTTTTTGTTGAGATTGTTTGTGATTTTGTAGTATATGTTAGAGGGTTTTATGAGAATAGCGTATCAACATAATTTACTACCAAAAAATTGATGAGAATATATATTAATACATGGGTGATTTTAAAGAAAAAGTTGTTTAGAATGTAGCTTTGCACTCCACCATATATACATGCCTTGCCATTTACATTTAGTGTGTATTTGGAAACTCGTGTTTTTGCTTTGCCGTGCTTTCTATTTGTGGTGTGGACGTGGACTTAAAGTTCAAACATGATATTAGTGTGTTTAGTTTCAGTGGGAATATTGGAATTGATTTTGCCTCCTCTTAAACATTGTTTTGGTAAAATACAATACATGTGCTTTGTTACTACTTGGTAAAATTTACTTTGACTACAACACTTGGTTTGACTAGGATTAATATGAGTAGCTTTTGCATTGGGTTGATTTTTGTTTACCAATTTTTGCATCAAACTTGCTTTTGTGGTGAAACATTTAGACATAAATCACTTCACTTCAAACTTAGTTAATGGAATTCCATGTAAAAGTTGTGTATATCAAAATAGTGCAAAACCGTGTTTTCTTTATGAGATCTTGGCTGTGTTAATTTTATTGTGGACTATTTTGGAGGGTTGTATGTATGTAGAGATTGTCTACAAATGTTTTACTATAGAACATATGATATCATTTATATATAGCCTTTTCTGTTGTTGTAAACAAGACTTTGTATTTTGATGTTGCATATTGCATATTTTATATTAAGAAAATATGTCATGTCTTCACTAAATTCGGAAACTGATTGTAACTATTGGATACCAAACAGGATTCTGATCTTGTGGTAGAACCGATGTCTTTTGGCAGTTCATCTCAGCCATCACGGCCGACACCTACCCCCTCATCATCATCAGCACCACCCCGGTCAAATGATCAAGCTCGTGCAAGAAGCACAGGTGAATTTTTATTTCTGCTAATTTCATCTTTTTAATTGAACAAAGAGCTTGTGATGGATGGAGCACATCTTGGTTATCACGTTCATTTTATCTTTGTTTCATACTGTGCTGAGTTTTACTATATGCGTTGGATTTTTCTGCAGGATCAACTAATAGAACTTCTGGGACATCTGCAACTGCGGGTTCTAATCCACCTCCTCTGCGTTGGGATCGACAAACAATTCTATTCTCTGTTAATGCTTGGGTAAAGTCTTTTCACTGTTGATCATAAATTCCCACGAATCATATTCTGGTTCAGATATTCCCTATTGGCATATTGACAGTTTTGATTACTGTATTTGACTCTTCGTTTCTGATCACGTGATGAAATTATATTTATATTCTAAAAGATCTTTGTTCTTAAGAATTGTACATGTCAATTATATGCTAGTATGCAACTGCTGATCATACTTGTTTTGATCACTATTCAAATTCCCATGTTGAGCACTTGTTATGGGGAAAGAGAGAGGGAAATTATAATTAGGAAAAATGTATTGAAATTGTAAATTTGGAAAATATACATAATAAATAATTCTTTCTATTTATGTTTGGAGTCACTTTTGCTGTCCGTGAGATCTCAAACTCAAACTCAGTGGTAAAAGTTTGACCTTATAAAGTTATAACCTCAAGGGACACTGTTCAAATCTCCTAAGAGATGGTTGTAAAATGTTTATTTAGTGCCAATTTAATGTATAGTATTTTTTATTTTATTTTATAAATTACACTTCTGTTGCTGTTGCTGATGTTTTTATTGAAACATTTTCTGCAGGTGTTTGTTGTGGCTTTCCTTGCAGCTGTTCCAGTGATACCTAAGCATCTTTCTCATAGGGCTTATCGTCTTTCTTTTATGGGCACTACATGTTCTTCTCTATACTCATTGTACTCACAATATGGGGTAAGTTTTTGCTTTTATTTTACAGCTAACGTTATCTTCTTTATGTTATGGTTCATCTATCTTTAATATGTTGTATGTTATTTTGTGCAATTGCAGAAACCTAGAGCGTGGAATATGCAAGCCTTGCAAGTTTACTTTCAATCAATAATTGCTTCAAAGGATTTTATATACTTTGTGTACTGCCTTACATTTGTTACATCGCATCTTTGCCTTAAATGTGAGTATTCCTTAGTTCAATCCCACCATATTCTTATTTGTTTTCTCCCGAAGGGATGTAATATTATCACTCCTTTTTGTCACTTCCCCATCATGCCTTCAATAACACGTTTTAATTATGTTGCAGTTGCTTTGATCCCTATCTTATGTTGGTCATTTGAACACGTTGCCAAGTTCCTTAGACGTAATTTCAGCCGCTCTACCTTGTACAGGTAAAAATAGCCTCACAAGTTTTTATATCAGTATGTAGCAACACAGATTATAATGTTGCTAAGAGAGACATCATCACTCTCATTAAGCATAGGACCAGTACCGCCCTCTGTATTGTTTATCATCACATCTGTAGGCATAATAATTGTTTATTGTTAGTCATTTTTCTATACTTCTACCTAGCTCAACTCCAAATAGTGGATTGCAAGCAATTTTTGTTAGGGGAAACTATTTTTTGATATGCATCAATTATCAAATATCTAATATAAGTACTTTTTTTTTTGCTTGAATAGGAAGTACTTGGAAGAGCCTTGTGTTTGGGTGGAGTCAAACAATACTACTCTCAATATACTAACATCACATGCTGAGATTGGACTTGGTTTCCTACTCATCATTTCGTTGTTCTCGTTAGTTTCTCAAACTTTTCCTCTCCAACTTTTTCCTTAATATTCCTGTGACATCCTTTATATATTGAATTTTTTGTCTGCGTCATGTAACCCTTATTTTCGAACAACACATGCAGGTGGCAACGCAACATAATACAAACATTCATGTACTGGCAGGTTTGTTTCAGCTCGATCTGATCTGTACACATATATGCCAAGTTTTTTTATTGGTTTGAGTCATTTTAATTGGATCTATTAAACTCCTTTGCACTCATGCTCATGTTGGTAATAACAAATGCATGACTAGAAGCAGTCTGAAATTATCTCTAGTGCTTGGTTGTGTAAACCATATTTAATGAGTTCACTTATCTAAGGCGGAAATATCTGTAATATGCTTGATGCCTAAATCATTAAAAGACTTGTGTTTTCCAAAGAGTGTTTGGAAGAATGTATTTGCATTTATACAAATATTCCGTAGAACTTACAAAAAATATCTTATGGTGTGACCATAAGCTGTTTTCATAAACCCCGTAAGTATAGCTTCAGACAAATTATTTATTCAGGTTTTATACCAAGTTTACCTTTGTTCCCTTGTTAATTATAGAAATAGGTTATATACAGGCTTTCATATGATAAGTGTTTATTGAATTAGCATTTATTTAATAAGTATTTAATTAAGTTGTCTATCTAAATATCTCCGTAATGTGAGATCCATTACATAAATGTGAGAATAGAAAGAAAAACAAAAATCAGGAGAGAAGTCACCTTAATAGATGAAAAATTTTTTTGCAACTGCATGTTCATGTTAAAGTTACCAATTTTATTTTATTTTTCAGTAGTCCTTGCTATAACATCGAGAAAAAAAAGTTATTTATGCTGATAGAATTCTCCTCACTAGTTAAATATTTACGTCCTTTATTGCCGCTGCACGGTGCAACAAGTTGCAGAGCTGTTCGATTTTGCGAGAGAAATATTTTCTCTTCTAAGGGTTCTGAACGTTTTACTGTGCAGAAGCTGTAGATGATCCATGCATAGCCTCTAAATGAATTAATAAAATATTACCTCAGACATACTGGCATTTATTTATGAGTTTTGTCTTTCATCCTGCAGCTTTTGAAGCTCATGTATCATGTTCCTGTTACTGCTGCATACCATCAGAGTGTTTGGGCTAAAATCGGGAGGACGATCAATCCACTCGTCGACCGTCATGCACCGTTCTTGAAGACTCCTCTATCTGCAGTTCAAAGATGGTGGCTAAGGTAGAAGTTCGGCTTAAGTTGTTATTTTTTAGAATTGGAACAACACCAAGTAGACATTTTTGTGTTTTTAACCTCCAAATACAAATTGGTTACATAGAACTGAAGTAGACTTTGGGATGAATAATGATTTAGTTGTTATTGACTATTTGATTAAGTATTGTATGCATAATTACACTTTAGGTTTATTCCTATTAACCAAACATATCTTAGAAGCAATTTTCTTTTTAAATTGTTCCCTCTGAAAGCTGCACACTTGCAAGTTGCAAGGAAATGAGCAATCACGTTTGATCTTCTTCTCCTTACAAATCAAATGACCCATAAAGTTGGGTCTATGTACTTTTGTAAAAACATTGGTTGTTTTCATTTTCATTTTTAGAATGTGTTTATTTTAACATATTAATAAAAATGTGTTGCTTTTGAAATGAGTCATTATGATAGACATAACATGATTGCTACTTAAGGATGATGCATTTCATGAAATAATCAAGTTCTATAAAGAAAACAATTTCATAGTGCACCCTATATATTAGTTGTACATCATGTAAAAATACCAAAATGTTTTTATATTTCACAAAAGCATCCCTCTACGTGTTCAATACACATAATTTAGGCCGCCCTAGGAGTGTGTCTTTTATACCCGAAGATATATCTTCTAATGTCTGAATGTAGATGTATTTTCGTAACATTGGAAAATAGAAGAAAAAAAATTAGAAAGGTGTATTTTAACAAATTAAAATTATCATTCATAATACAAAATAAGTATTACTAAGGTGATTTTAACATAAAATAAAATATTATATTTTAATATTCAGTTGGATGCTGCACAGTATCTTCGATCAGAAAGAAGAAAAATCAGACATGCAAAAGGTCACAAACATTTCAAAATCTCGTTCCAATTCTCCGAAGATGCATCTCTGAAATATTCACCGGGCAGCTCAACTGATTATATTTGTTGAAAACACTCAGAAATGTATCTCTGAAACATCTTTTAGTATTAATCTAGTGTGTAACTCATTTGTTGTGTCATAAAGATGTTTCGAAGATGCATCTTCGAAATTTGAGGGACACTTTTGATTTTTCATGTGTTTTTCCACCCCGTAAGATGTCACAAGAGATTCCAAAAAATAAATAAAATGATAACGAGGGTAGCCCGATTTGTGTATTTAGAGTGTTTATGTAGGTTGTCTAAATATTTATAGTGTTTAAGTGTGTCTGAGGGTAGAGTTGGTAAAATGGGTCGGACTAATCGGGTCTGCATCTAATTTTGATCAGACTCGAAAGTTCTTATAAAATTTTAAGTTTGAACTAAAAAATTAAATTGATTTATTATCTCAGTTTTTGAGCCGGACCTGATAAAAAACCGATGTTTATCGGGCTAGCCCAATTAAGTTGCGTTATTTAATTAATTCTTTTTACAAAAATTTGAACACACTATATTACTAATCTCCCTATTATTTTTTAATAATGATACAAGTTCACTCAAATGATTTGATTTATGTATATAATATACCTTGTATTTATTCAAAATATTGATTAATTTGATTTTATTTAAAACATCAACTATAAAAGAATATTAATAGAGAGAAGTTAAGGTTTTTGCAAACAAATAACTATAATGAAATTAATGAAAAATTTCACAAAGTTTTAAAATGTAGACTAAATTCATTTCCATTCTAGCACTATAATGAACTAGTGTCCAGACGGGCACTCGCGTGCCCGTCTATCTGCTTTTTTATTGCACACATATAAATATAAATGATATATTTTTATTTAATATTACTTTTATATGGAAGTTATGTGGGAAGTTATCAGTAGCGAGTTATATGAAAGATGATAGTAGTAGTTCAATAGAAGTTATTGTGTAAGTTATATATTTTAAAATAAGGGTAAATTTGGTATAAAAAAAAGCTACACCAAAAATCAAGTATTGCCTTTATATATGTTATAGTTAATACATGAATTTTTAAAATGGAGACCAAGTTCATCTCCTTTCTAGCACTATGTTATTAAAAATAGAGTTAAATATATTTGTGATTTTTTTAAATATTTTAAATTTTATTTTTAATATTTTAAAATATTTCTTGTAAAGAGTGGTCTTTTTAAATTTTTTTTTTATATTTTTGGTCCATACAATTAAAACTGCCGCTAATTTAATCGTTAAGTTAAAAATAATCATTAATTCTGTTACTAAGTTATAAAAATCGTCGTTAAATATTTTAAGACCAAAAAAAAAAGAAAAAAAGCATTGTTTAACTCAAGCCTTTAGACTCAAATGTAATATCTTGAAAAACCATAAGTCTTTTCTTGTCAGATTATATTAATTATATTAAAACTTAAGTCTTTTCTTGTCTTACATTAAATACAAGATTATATTAAAACTTAAGTCTTTTCTTGTCTTACATTAAATACACTTCAAATTATTGATTCATTTGATTTAATTTAAATATAAATAATATTGAAATGAACATTAATATTATTTGCTTAGTTTTATATTAATAAATTAATATATAAAAATAAACTTTATTAAAATTTAAATCTCAAATAATGTGAATTGTTGTCTAAATTTAAATTTTGTCATTTGATTGAAATAGTCTATTTTTATGATATTTTATCTTAGATGTAATAAGTGTAGTTTTTTCATACTTAATATTCATATATATTTTAATTTTAGTTTACAATTTATTAATTTATTTTTTTTAAAAAAGATTTTTTTAATTAAAATTTAATTATAAATATAATTCGAGCTGGCCCGAATAACCGTAGCTCGTAAATGGTAGGGTTTGGTCAATTAAATTGTAGCTCGTTTAAGTTTTGGGCTTTTAGATCCTATTCGCTAAAGTTTCGAACCCATCTTGGTTGGCCCGTAATAGGCCAAGTATCCCGTTTTATCACCTTTAGTAGAAGGCCTGCTTACGTAGGGTTGTGAGAGGCTTTGCTTTCTGCCATGATCTCTTTCATGTTCTAAGAATGAAGCATATATAAAAAAAATTTGGGTTTAGGCTAGAGAACCAGAAAGGTAGTTTCCTATCTTTCGGCCAACATCATGAGGACGCAGGAAAAATTGACTCTTCTAAAGATCACGGGGGAATGATTTTCTCTTTTGAAACAATACTTGCACCTGTTACATAAAAAATGGATATACGCAAAAAAATTAGATACATTAATGTACCATTAGTCTCCCCTACACTCAATCTTTAAAGGATGATCCATAATCAAAGGAAAAAGACTAAGTATGAAGGTGGTGAACAATGCAAGTTGATCTTAACTAACCACCGATATTATGAGGTGTTAGTCAAGCAATTTAGTTTTGGTGAATGATGAACACATACATATGGTTCAATCAAGTTTCTAGATGAGTTATTCTTGGTTCTTGATTGTTATCAAGAGCTTGATCAATCCTTAGCAAGATTGATAAACTCATGATCTAAATAACACAAGGATAACAACCAAATTAGACAAGAACAATATGCAACAAAAAGATAAAGAATTGGCATGGATTCAATACGAAGGGTTGTGTTTGGAGAAGAAGAGAGAAACATAGTGTAAAGATGAACACACTAAAACGAGAAGACAAAAATCACAATTTTTGTCTATATGGACCACAATAGGTTCCACAAAACTTGTTAATTTCACCAAAAGAAGCAACTATTTAAATAAGTGATGGAAAGTTAGTTTTTTAGAAGTTTGATTCGAATCAAGAAGGATTTGTGATTCAAATCAATTTGGACAGCCCCAAGAAGGGCGTTTTGCAAAGCTAATGATTCGAATCATTATTTGCAATTGATTCAAATCAAATGAGGTTATGATTTGAATCATGTTTAATTTTTTTTACCAATTTGATCTAGAATTGTGTTCCAATTTTCAACAGGTGAGTGATTCGAATCAAATATAACACATGATTTAAATCAAATGCAAAAACATCCAAATTCAAATATTTTAACTTGTGATTCAAGCTACTCATGTGGAAATGACAAAATAGTTATTTTCATAGGCTAAAAAAGAAATTACCAATAAGGATCAAATGAAAATAATCATAAAATGTAAAGGGCTCTCAGTGGTACAATTTAGTAGCTAAAGCAATTACAATATCATGGAAATTAAAACTACAATCACACAAATGAATTGAGATAACATAAAAATTAGAAATACACAATAAAATGATAATTTAATTGTAAAACATCAAAACAAAAATTGATTCTAAAAGCACGTAAATAATACCAAAAGATATTATGTGCTTTCAATCTCCCACTTTTTGATGTTTGACAAATTTGTGAGATTATTGTTGATGAATTAATTCAAGCAATATTTGGAATTTGATTGCACATGTCAATCTGGTGACTATCATACAATACTTCCTTTGAGTCGTAAAAGCTGTAAAGCTCCCGCTGCATTAAACATTTAATGCGCAGAAATATCAACAATATGTCAACTACTTCTTCCCCTTTATCAAATATAAAAAAGGAGAGAAATAGAGAGAAACAAACACACACATAAATCCAAGCCAATGCAAAATTCAATACACAATATGTCATACTTAGTGAATCATAAACACAAACCATACAAATCGCATATAAGAAATAACACAACTACGTAATTCGGAAGAGATATCAAGATAAAGATAACAATAAGATGAATATCAGAGATACCAAAATAACGTGAATTAAAATCATAACATTCACATGGTACCTTAATCAAAGTATGGTCAACAAATCATAACATAGGTTTTCAAATCAAAATGACATAACTATAACTAAACAAACTAAAATGACATGAGATGCATGAAATGAGATACCATGAAAGATCATTAGAAAATAAGTTAGAAGAAGGAGGAGGAGGTGCACCAGAAGCAACAGTGTCTTTCAAATCTGGAATGCTTGTTGCAGTAATGTCGTGATGAAAGATGAAGTTGTTACTATCGAGATAGTCAACAGAGCTATTCAAAGCTTCAATCTAAGTAGCCAGACGTTCTTCTGAAGCATGAATCTCTTCCTTCACCTCATCCCT